TGTCTTGTGAAACCCAAAATGACAGAATGAAACCATCCACGATCACACTGAGTTCAGTAATTCAAGTTTTTAAAAAATTAGTCTTTAATATGAACAACAAGAATTAAACCTATATTTTTCTAGGTAGAATAGATATGAAGATATATGTTTCATAGGAAAGCTACTCTCATAACTTGTTGAGATGAGACCTTCCTGAGGCCGGCATTATGGCAAATATATCCTACCTCACACATAGTTCCAAAATATGTGTTTCCAGACATAATTAGAGGACTAGCACTGGATCGAACTATCTACCTAATTCAGATCAGTCAGCATTCTGTCACCAACAGAAAAGCAAGTGCTGTTGAGCAGTTAGTCATGGAAAAACATCTCTGTACCATCAGTGATAAAGAACCTCAGGGACGTCTGCAACTCAGTGCTTACTGCCAGGCAAACAGGAGGAAATGCGGATCACAAACTCCAGAGGGCTATCCCAGGCTGCAAGAGTACCTCAAGCACTTGGGAACACAAGTCACAGTGGTTGAAGCAAGACGAAAGTTATGCTTTAAACAAAAAGAAATATTTTGAAATACTGGGTATCAGAGTGTAAATCCCATATCCTAAAATCAGATCATCGATGCAGAAAATGGAATAAGCAAATCTACTTTGCTTCAATTTACTTTTTACCTACACTCCTATCTAGCTTGGCATCTTAGACAAGCCTCTTCCAAAACTTATCGTTACCCTCCAGTCAAAGTAACCTTCTTCAACTTTATTTTCTTATGGAATTAAAATTAGAGTATGTCTGATGTACTACTATAGTTAAAATCACACAGCTTTTATCCTGATAGGAGGTAGAGCTATCAGGAAAATCTTCTGATTTAAGAGGTTGTATTAGTGTGTAGCTAGTTGTTTGTAGAAATTAAAACACACACACCAAAAGAAAAAAAAAATATCCCTCAGATCTGGTCACTGCTCAGAAACTAAGGGTGTGATATCAGGACCCAACAGAACTAGACTGCCTTGAGGATAGTTCCTCTGTTTCAGAGGATTCAGATCTGACCTAAACAGAACTTCACCTTGCTCATACTATGCTAGTACAGGATGGTTTTGTACTACATGTTTACATTACTAATTTCATCCCTTAAGACAATTTTTCCTATTAATTTACCCCATGATTATTTACTTTGTTCTTTAATCCCACAAATTCTATGATAAATACTTTATTTTGAAAAAGTGTATAAGATGCATTTTTTTAATTTATTCTTTCACATATGTCCAAAGTTACAAAAGGAAGCTAACGCATGTGAAAGCTATGGCAGTTAAAGTTTTCATGTATAATTTTCCAAACGTTACAATATTCCATTGCTAGACTCTCAGTTTTTGCAAAATGAAATAAAGTCACAATTCTTCAAAAATCTTACGATCTTACAAAAATGGGTTTCTATTTTTTGAAGGCTATGCCACAATTTTATCAGTTTGTCTTGTATTTTGTGTGCTTTTTCCCCCTCAATTATAGATGAAGACCATTCAACTACAATGTTTAAATATGTCGGAGATCGCTTCTTCACTGTTGTTTGGATAAAAAACTTTTCCTCTTCTCCATGGCTTTGGGAATACAAATGCTACTGTGACAATATGGCACCATTACCCAAAATACTGAATGAGGTAAAGTATTCATGCAACTTGTCATCAGTAGTAACTATTTATTGGTAATTTCCTTTCATAGCACTGATTTCGGAAGCCTAAAAAGAATACAGTATTTATTTATTATTTTGCTAATTATACAGGCACCACAGCCTGATCTCACATCTAAAGGATGGACTACGGTTTTCAAATAATCTCCAAACTTGGAAACAATGCACTTAGAATTTCACCTGGCTAAATATTCCATGTTGTCACATTGCAAAAAAAAAATCTACACATACATTTGAAGCATGAAATGAAAACAGCTTACACAACAGTGAGATAACAGATAAAATATATCTCTAATGAGGTAGCACTTGTATTTCTGTCCTCTCCATTCCCAATACTTATTGTTTCTAAGCAGTCTTATTTTATGGGATACTGGAAAAGGAATTTTAAAACAACAACAACAACTTGTTTGTTTTAAAGCACTCTCTCCAATGTTCAAATGTCTACTTTATATTAATTATAATAATAACTAATAAAACCATGAAATAACTCCATGTGCAACATCTTAATGTAGAAGACAAATATTTTTATTGCACAAAGACTTGACAGATTTTCTCAAATGGCAGATATATAAAAGAGAATAAACTCTTAGTTCCTGTAATAACACACATTTAAAAGAATTCTTGATCTGAAAACCTACTAAATTAGAAAATGCAGAGGTATTTAAAAATTCATTTGTCTATTGTGATCATTAGAAATGATATGGCATATTAAGTTCTATCCCAGTCGGAAAGGATGTGACCTCCTATCACGCCCTTGAGCAAGTATACCATTCTGCAGGACAACAGGTAAAGGGCACTGGGTAATGACATCCCAAAACCTTCTGTTCCTCCCACCATATTCCATGTAGGACTCAGAACAATTTATATTCTTGAAAATGCCTGCCAGACTCAGACCTAAATGTCAACTAGATTGAAGAATGTCTTTATGAATTTTGATGGGATGAGGCACGCACATCTCCACTACCTCTGTAGTTAGTTGATTCTCAGGATGCACAGAAGCAGATATTTAGGCATCAAAACATTTCATTGGAAAATTATTTCAGCTGTTAGCAAGCACTCTTACTGACTACATTACCAAGTAATTAACTCAGCCATAAACAATTCTGTAGAGTGAAACAATAGAAGATATAGTATCCACACTATCAAAAAGAATGTCATTGTATTTTAGTGGTTGTACTTCGGAAAAGATTTATCAGGTGCTGATAAATGACCACTAGGAGCTGAAGCACCTGAGAAATTATATTTGTGATGCTATTCAAGTGCATCTTACGAATTAACTCAAAGGAATGTAATTTGTGCCCTTCAAGATTGCTCTGTGATGAAAACTAAAGCAAGGGGAGCAGGAAAGATCAGAACAAGATTCAGTTCAAAAATCACACTGCTGGATCCAATCTAAAATGCTAATGTAGTTGTACTTCTTATGCATGTAGAAACTTACAAGATCTAAATATCTAATATGTATAAATAGATACAGTATCAGCCATAGTTAGGTGTTGAGTGGATAGTGGAAATTGTGAGGTGGAAGGGGACAAGCTATAGGAATAGAATTTGGTCTAGTCCATTAAAGAGAAACACAAGCAAGTTGGGTATACATTCTTAATGATTCATGTTGTCACTGAAACAAAAACATCCTCTGACCCTGACTCCCAGAAATCATAATTCTCTTAAGTAATTATGAACATTTTTGAGAGAAAAGTATTTGCAATTTTTTGATGCTAGTAAAGAAGTCAGTGATATGTCATAGCCCTGAACATACTGTTCTAACTCAATTACTCAGGTGACCTCATCGGAAATACAGACTCAATATCTAGGTGTGCAATCACAAAGTCGATTATATGGAGATGAGACCGTGACTGTTCACCTTTTCTGTCCCCTTCTACCTGTTCACATTCAATTAATGTTATTCTTACAGAACTACAGCTTCTAAGAATAAATGTAACTCATGAATAAAACAAGACATAGTGGTACATTGTAAGACACTAAACAATAATCCTCTGCCTTTTGAAAACTAAAATTGTTGCAAGTTGAATTAATTTTACTAGAAATGAATCCTGTAAATAAAGGAAACCAGTACTTGAGCTGTGCAAATTATTTCTAGTTCTGCAAATTATTTCAAGTTTAGATCTAAAAAGCTTCCTTTTCCACTCAGCTATAGTTCAAGGTTTGCTATATTAACAAATTATTAAACTTATTTATACTAATCATTTTTCTTGCCCCTTTCAACAGCTGGAATGTGGAAATCCTGGGTCTTAATTAAAGCGACCATACAACAAAGCAGTAGGAACTTTCTATCTTAGTCCACTAATTATGAATATCAAGAGAGCTCAAGCACACTTGTGCCATACCACTATAGAGTTTGATACAAATGAACAGCCAAGGTAAAGTTATGGGCAGAAAAAGACAGCAAGTCACATTGGGCAGGTTTACTCCCACTATGGTTATTCACTCCATCTGCCCATCCTCAACAATATCAGCTCCATTTCTAATATTCATGGTTGTTGGTTTAACTTTTGCCTTTCCTCTCTCCCCTTTCGTTGAATAATTTAGATGAATAATCATACTTTTTATTATTTTATTGTCTACCACTATTTATCAGTGGTAGCCAAGAACTATGCAATTTAAAAATTCGTTGCAATAAATACATACAGCTATGTTAAAGCTATTATAAAAATAATAAATATAACTAATTCTGTAATAATATAGAAGCGTGTGTGTATATATATATATGTTATTCTTAACTTTTTGGTTGATTCTGCTGTTCATGCTATATGGAAACTGTACATTCTCCCAGAAGCCTCCAATAGCAACAGCTGTTTTATGGTATGCATTATAGAACCCTCACATTTTAAGACCATCAAGAACAACATTATTAGGTAAGTTTGTCTTGGCCCAAAACTCATAAGCAATTCAAATTCTTTGTTTGTGGCACTTTTTTTTCCTCTTGTGGTAGGCATGATTAATTTTCAAAAGAATGTAGGAAATACTCACTTTTTTATGCCTTCAGTTATAAATTATTGCAGAATTATTTCATTTTAGTGTTTTTCAACATGAAACAACAGAAAAAACATGTAAAACCATATGCCACAAATCAACTGCTGTCAGAGCGCACCAAATCAAAACTGTGCAGTTTCATGTGACGTAAGACCTTTAAAGAGAACAAATTTATTTTTTGTACTTTTTTCAACTCAGCTTGTATTTGCTTGTTTTTAAAACTGATAGAACTGAAAATAGAACGCATACCCCTAATATGAAATAAACAAACTTCATAATATTGGCTTAATCTTTGGTATACCATTAAATTCGCTTCCAATAATGTATTATTACCTTTGTAGTTAACCTTGAAACCAATTGAGCCCACACTTTCATCTGTTTGAAGATGCAACCACATCTGATTGCTCATGCTCACAATTAAGTCTGGTACAAAGCTCCCAGTTAACCTATAGATAGGAAAAAATAAAAATCTGTAAAGCCATTAAGTATAAAGTGACTAGAGTTTTTATTTTCCTTTTTGTAAGGAATCTAAATAACTACTAAGCATTTTTATGGTGTTTTTTTGTTTGTTTTTAAGTTAACTGTATTCAGCTCACACCGAATTAGTTATCTATAACAGCCAGTACAGCTGTGTTACTAGCCAATAACTTGAGAGCCAATACAGCTCTCAAGGTCCTAAAGACTACAGATTTGATAGCAGTCTATAAACACAAGCAACTACTGCTTGTACTGTACTGAAGTCCTTCCTCTCCCTTTCAGTTGCTGCTCCAGAAAGACATGCATCTCCCCTAATCCTGAACCTTATCTGGCAGCCCTGTCTGTGTGATTCAGACACATGCAGACATACTAAATGGGCATTAGAAGCCCCTAATGAGGCACTACACTTACTCTTCCAAAAAAGTATTTCTCTAGTATACAATTACCCACTTACATATATACACATTTGGTATATTTAAGAGGAAGTTTTTATTCTTAAACAGCAGTTCTACTATGAAGGTCCATGTGTTCCCCGCACTCTGTCACCTCCCCTCATCACCTGTACCACAACAACAGAAGAATGTGCCTGACAGACTCAGCTGACGTTCGTTCCTCCATTCACAGTAATATCCAATGTCAGAACTTTAAAACCTCCCAGCGCTACAGGATATTGATTAATTAGAAAGAACTCAAATTGGTATTTCTTTTTTTTTTTACTTTTTGTATTGTTCGCAAAATTTTGCGAGTCAGTGTAATCCTAAATGTTCATTCTAAATGAACCCTAAATGTTTCATTTGCTGAATGAAAGAG